AATGATGGCTTTTTCTTATTTGTGTAATTGAGAAAAAAAAAAATCACAAATGTTCCCATAACTTGAAAAGATCTCAAACAACAAAACTTGACCAAGTTGGTGGGTTAAAAGTACTGACACAGTTTCAAATGTAATTTTGTTGTACCCTTAACTTTCATTTTTATTAGCTATTCAACTTCATTTATGAAACATGCATTACCATCAATTCTGCCTCTTCTTACAAACCTCCATTTAAAGCAGAAAATTCAAACTGTGCATTTGTTTTTGTTTTGGTTGTGATTCCAAAATTTTTGGTGTTCTGTATAAAAATTCATCCTGTCCAGCTGTTACAAATAGAATAACATGTTATAGTTAAGTCAGCCTCAACTAAACTTTCTGTTTGGTGCCGAGAGTAAAGTATTACTATTAAACACATAATAGGAATCTCTAAGCCCAATCATTTCTAAGAAACCAAAACATTTTCTTGAAAACTCCATGAATATTATTAATTTTAATGACCACTCAACGGAGAGGTCACATGAACACATGTTTCTGTTTCTAATGAGATCCAAGTCATACGCAGAAGCTCCTCTGTAGAAATGAACATTTCCCAGCTGGCTGTAAAAACAAATACAGTAAATCATTTAAATGCTGCTCATGTGCACCAGAGGCAAACACCAAGACTTTGTGTTTCTTTAAGGACAAACACTTCAGCAAAACAAGCCTAAACTGGCTAAAGATTTTTAAGTGTTATAAAGTATTCTTAGGTCAACTGAAAGCAGTGTTAGATCAATTATTCTTTTTTAATCTTTAGGGTTTGAATTGAGTATAATCAGTCAGGTATGAGAAACTAACATGTTTTTTTGGCTGAATCTTAATCGGTTTTGTAGGACAATAGGAGGACGTATGCTTTAAGAGTTGAAGAGTTTTTATTTTGTCTTCTTTTACCAAAAAAAAAACTTTAAAAGAATATCCTACATAAAATGCCATATAAGTACCATAAATTTTGGTGTCTAAGTCACAGTTTTTTTTGCATAAATTATCATGGCCTGTGACTTATACAGCAAAGCGACGTATTTGTTTTTTTTTGTTTTTTCATATTTATAACCCAATTTTTGGCTGAGATATGATGATTTCATTCATTCTGACATGGAAAATACTGAACACTACCATTTTCAGCCACTAGAGGGCCATTGAGTCATTGGTCAAGCCAAGTGTCTCATTAATGGGTAAAAGTGACTATTAATGAGACACTTGGCTTGCCATACAAAGACGCCTTTGTCTCGCTGCAGCTCCTGGAGCAAACGTCAAACCAGTTGCATTTTGTTGCGCTGCCCAGGTGAAATGCAGCTGATTTGACCATTATTAGGGGGGGGAGTGGTGGCGCAGAGGCTAGAGAGGTGGGCCTGTGATCCGAAGATCGCCGGTTCACGCCCCGGCCCCGACAACATCAAAATTGTGGGTGTGGTAGGTGAAACACCCACACTTGCCCCCACCCTCATTCGCCCCACCCTGGGCCCATGAGCAAGGCCCTTAACCCCCACAATGTGCTCCCGAAACAGGTGTCTCTTGAAAATGAGTTCTCGTGGCTCAATGAGACTAATCTGGATAAAAAAAGGCTAAATGAAAAAATAAATAAATAAATTAAAGTATATTTATTAAGGAAAAGTTAAACTGAGACAAACCTTTGCTATAAATTTGAGCAAACAAATAATTGTTTTTAAGTGTCAATCTTGTTAAAGTCCTCCCATGCACGGTCCTGCGGCCGCCATTTGGCAGCCAATCGATTTTTAGCACAGCACCGGCCCACATTTCTGGGTTATCAGCGGTGACGCATAATAGATGTGACTTATGTGGCAAAGCAACTTATTTATGTTTTTTTTCCCCGCTTTAATAGACATATTTGGACTGATGCGACTTAAACAACGGTGCAACGTGTATGGCGGCAAGTACGGTAATAAAATGATACCTAGATCAAATATTTAATGAGATCTTAGTGGAAAACCTTCTTCTATAGATAAAACTAATCTTCAAAGAACATACAAAATAAAAATTCAAACCATCAGCCTCTGCTAATGATGTGTATCTATCAGCTCTGGATCCTTCTCAAGAACTACGTCAGCAGAGGCAGCAGCAGGAAGGAAAACGGGAACAAAGAGGCCGGCAGCACTTTACAGTAAATCACTGGCTGGGAGTTATTTTTCAATTATCCTGAATTTCATTCTGGAGAGTCTGCAGTCGTGTCTCCTGCAGATGTGAGGTCCCGAAGGAAAACACTTCTCACATGTGACGCACAAAGTGAAGCAGATTCTTAACTGCAGCAGGTTGTTGTTCTTTCTCAGCACAAATCTAAACTGAGGCAAAGTTTTATTCAAAACTGTCAAATTTCTAAAATGCATGTCCCACACAGGATTGATATAACTTTGTCTTTTTTTTTCCTTGCATGTGTGTGCTTGTTTCAAAGTAATTATTAACTACAGCTAGAATGCAATTCAATGGCCGCCATAGTCGAGTCACCCCATACATCATATCGCAGCTACTTTTACAGATAATAAGATAAAATGGGAATAAAATGATTTAGTTTTAAACTCTGGCATAATGTGGAATGGGGTGATATGCATTCAAGGATTGTTGAGCCTTAATTTTATATTTTATGAATTAGTTAATTTCATGACTAATGTTGAATTTGACTTAATCATGTTTCAGTTCTAGGTATCAGTGTCTGATTGTAGCCATTAGTTTTGAATCTACAGTACTGTACATTATTAAAAAACTCCCAAACAGACTTTCACCAACAAGCAGCTCTTAAGGACAGCAGTGCACTGGGTGTCCTCTGCTGCCCTCTTGTGGTCCTAAAGAGAAGCACAGATAAATCCAGAGGCCTACAGTTCCTCTGTTTACTGTTTATTGTTGTGCACTGCACTTATTCCTTATTTACATCCTTTAACAGTAAACAGAACCTAAAAAGAAACACATGAACATAGAAATGTACACATTTTAGTAATACTTGTACAGCAGACAGGCAAACACGTGACAAAAAGTACTCAAACCCGACTCACACGCAGCACAACTTTACACACACATCCACTACGTTATAGAGGTTAGCTTTTCAACACAGCTGCAGTTTGAGTCAGCGAGGGAGCTCAGGGGTTATTTCACATGTAGGTCCTCTGTGTACGTAGATCAGAGACACGCCACACTTCTCGTATATCCTTATACGCGCTTTAAATACTAAACGAACAAAAAACAACTTCAAGTTTAGCAGTTTCAGCCTGAGACCCACTGTATTCTCAGATCAGACACCATTTGTTCTGTTTTGCTCTGGCTTATGAATGAAATCAAATTTAACACTCTCTTTTCTTTCACTCATCAAAGTCCTGATTCAATTCTACGTTGAGAGAATGCCGAACAATCAACAAGCTAAATATCTTGTCCTTTGTCTAACTACTCAGGAGCATGGAGATAGTAAAGAATTTAAAGCTTATGAGCATAAAGACAAACGTTCTGCTCAATTTGGATGCATCTAATTATAATGACCCACTGCTGAAATTAAATGAAAATATGCCATGGAAAGCTTTTAATAAAACTTTCAGCAAATGATCATTGGATGCAAACTCAGAACTGGTTAACTTTTAGAGTCAAGATCAAGTTGGCTGTCACCGCTAATCAGCATTTACAGAAAAAAAAAGGTCTGTGACAGTCAGCTTTACAAGGACCATGTTAAAATCCCATGTGGTGGTAGTTGAGGGTTATTCCTATAATGTGATCATTGCAAGAGATTGTCATTTCTCAACTTAATTTGATTTTAGGCTAAAAGCATGAAAGGCAGCAGGTAATGTGCATTTCTTTAAGGAATTCTAAGCGTTTCATTGTAAAGCATTGAACAGAAACAGATGGGTTTAGAGTCCAATCTGACTGTTGTTGGGTCTGGGTTTTAAACAGTCACATTGCTGGAGCTGTGAAAACCTGAAATAAAAAGGTTTTTTTCTTCATGAACAAATTTTGACTCTTGCATACTTGTTACCAATATCAACCCAGGATTATGAAATAATGTTAACCCCATAAAGCAGTGTCAAGACTAAACTTTCTACCAAACAGGAGGCCGTCGCACTGAGGAACAATCATAGCAGTTGATAATAAACCAATACGATGAGCATCAAACATCTTTAGATGATTTCTGTTAGATTATTTTTATGAACAGCACGTACAGCTTCCTTGAGCCAAGTTTTCAATCCTTTAGTGTTCATATGAAACGGTACAAATGCAGACGAAAAAAAGCTTAATGTGTTGCTAATTAAATACTTTAGTGCAGAGACAGAAATGTCTAAAAAAAAAACAGATCAACTTGAAATTAAAAGCAAAAACAAGGTGCAAATGCAGCAAATGATGGCTTTGAAGATATGTAGAGGTCAAAACTGATGATTTCTGCTTATTTGTCATCTGGTTACATGAACATGAAATGTTTAATTTGAAATTAATAAATAAAAACAGGTGAAAATAAATTGGACAAATGTTGCATGCTATGCCTTCAACGCTGCACCAAACGATATTTGTGCTTTCTAAGAACTTCTTTTCAAAATCGTGTGAGAATCCACACACGAGGCCTGAAGACGCTTCATGTTAGGAGCTGTGCATGTGCTAATCCTAAAATGTACGACCCACAGTTCCCAGAAGACACAACAGGCTCTGATGTCTTACATAAACTGGGGACAGGACGTCATCATTAGGTTTCACCGGAGATTTTTTTTTATCTCGAGTCTGAAAAACTGTTTTCCTCCTTTTCATTTGACTCTATCTCTTATATTCATGAATCCCAGCCTGTAATGACAGATAGTGTTAAAACCAGGAGTTGCACTTTGCTTTCATGCTATTTGGACTTTCTTGATTATATCTGCACTAAAAAGCCAATTTCTTGTGTTTATTTTCACCTCAGTGCACAGTAACGTGATAATGTCATTTGACTTGTCATTACAAGGACCTTTGAGCTGCGTGGAAAACTGGATTTACAGAAAAGGCTCACGAATCCATTTTCTCCCCGCACACACAACAAAGCCCAAACTCCACATTCCAAACCGCTCCGACGTTGTTAAATGCTTGTTGTGCCTCACAGATTAGTTGATATCTCTGAACTTGTTTTGTTGAGAAGTTTGTGAAATGTTTGCTTTGTGCTCCCTGACGCGTTTTTCTCTTATCTGCTGAGATTCTCTTCTCTTCCTCTCTTTTGATCATCTGTCTTGGTGATCAGTTGTTGAGCTGACTCAGAGCAAACGATCACATACCGGTGGTCCTTTGCCACCGTCGGTAAGTGTTCGTGGCAGGAAGAGATGCATGAGTCGAAGCGAGCTATAAAGGCAGATGTTATCATACGCAGACCGGAGGAGGGAACACTTTCAGGGTTAGAGACGAGATCCCGACGCCACTTTTATTTTAGTAAAGTGGTTTTTGTCCTTGACTTTCAAATTCTGACCAGGCGTCATTGAGTTCCATGAAAATCAGCTTGGCGTACTGCTCATATGGTTGCCCGGTCGCCTGTGAAACAACAAAACAACAGGAAATTACCATCAGGCGTGTTCAGCTTTTAGTGACTTCTTATAATAAAGACCGCTTTACAATAAAAGATGCTTGAACAACAACCCAAAGACTGAAATCTGAAAACCAAAAATGGTAAAATGCCCTTAAAATGTATTTACCAATAAGTAATGCATGTGCTAATTTTGATTTAGAGTTAATTATCACCCGCTGAAGCTCAGAAAGTCATCGCTGGGTGTTCATTAACAACTGATGGACTTTTGGTTAACTCCATTCAAGATGGCCAACTGGTTGTAAAATCCACAAAAGTGGCTTTAATTTAGACATTTTTTTTTTATTTTTTTTTACAGATATTAGGCTAATATTGGTGTGGTAGTGGCTAAACATTTTTCTCAACACAGATCAGGTAATATTGCACATCTTGACATATAAAAACAACTAAAACTGCCTTTTCTTGATATAAGATGCTTTTAGTTTAAAATTCTGGCATGACATGCATTCCTTCAAAGAATGCTAAGTCTTTAGTTTCCATTGTGTGCTGATTCCCTGATGAAGCTGTGAAGAGCCAGGGAACTTCTGAACACTCAGTTCTGATATTATCACGTGTGACTAAACAGAGAGCAGGGGACTCCATGCAGGGGGTACGACGGGCTCAGACTGCTCAGAGTAAACACGAACGCTACAGCATATACCGTATTTTTCAGATTATAAGGTGCATTAAGTGAAATAAAACGGTTAAGTCAAACTTTATTCAACTCATTCACAATAACGCTCAACATTGTTCAGTTGTACCACATAAAATCAGTTCGAGGACACAACCAGAATTAATTTTTTGAAGAAAAAACAAATAATTAAAGGATTTTAAGTGTGGCTTATAGTCCGAAAAATATGGTACTCGTTACTAAACAATGAAACAGACACTTCTAGCATATTAGATTTTTTTAAATGTCACATAATAAATTTTTTAAATAATTTTCCTCTAATGTTTTTGCTTTATTTCTTTGTTAGTATTACATTTGTTGATGCATTTAAAATGTAAACCGATCCATGGAACAGTAATTATTTCTCCTCTAAAGATTAAAAACTACACTTTTCTCTCGGTTCTTCAGTTTCCACCCACAGAGTAAAAACGTGTAAGTTAGAGTCATGGGTAACTTAATTGTTCCTGGGTGTGAAAAAACACGAACGGTTGTTTGACTTGTTTCTCTCCGTGTCCCTGTGATGGACTTGTGACCTGTCCAGGGTGTCCATCGCCTCTCGCACAGTGACTGCAGATCCCCGTCACCCGGAAAGTAAAAACGGACAAAGAAAATTAATGGATAGATGGATTTTTTTTCAAGGCTCTGTGTCTTACTGTGTGTCAATAAAATGTAAGGATGTAATTTTGTAGAATTCTAAGGTTTAAAGCGTGTAAAACTGCTGATGCTGACTGAAACCCTGCTGTCCTGCCGTGAATGATCAGTCTTCATTGATTAACTATGCCTCTGTGATTAGGATTATTCTGGGTGGCGGCTGCTCTTTTGTCCAGAGGAGGGATTTAAAAGACAGAGTATTTAATTTCCCTCTTCCAGTCCTGCCAGTACAGATCCTTCAGAACTGACAAAGCTTCACCGTCATCTCCAGGTAAAAACGTATCAGATGCTATGAATGAAAACTGTAAATGTATTCCTAATAGAGAAGCCGCTACATTCTCTGTCCCAGACAGGCAGCTTGTTGTTCTGAGCTCCTCAAATGTAAATTATTCTCATTTGACAGATACTGTTGTGCTTTCCTGACTCTGGTCAAAGGTGCTGCTGTCTGCGTGGAGATTTCTTGCACATGAAATGACCGCAACGATACAACACAGACGACTCAAAGACACCACCGGAATGTCTGTCTCAGTTCAATTCCTGATTCTGATCCTAATCGAGTCTGCTGTAGGAAATCCACTGAATGTGCCGGATGTAAGAAGAGACGACGTCAACGTGTTCCTGACGATGGCGTGGCAAGTAGCACACCACCTCCGTCCTGAGTCCAGCTGTTACGTGTGTGGTCTGATGCCCTACACAGCTGGAGAAGGTTTACCTCTAATGGCGCTGCCTGCGTCCGACTGTGATACGTGCAACCTGATGCATATTGATCTTCCCAAGACTTCTCCCCGCCGTCACTGCCCAGTAATGAAAATGAGACCCCTTGACTGTTCCACGCAACAAGGGAACTGCAACAGATGTTTCCAAAAGCCCAAGCCGGTTCCCATCCTAGTCATTCCTCAGAAGTTCACTTGGTGTTTGGAGAACGATGGCCACACACCGGTGGGGCGTTCGGACTGCATACGTACCTTCAAATGTGGTTCTGACGAGATCAAGACCGACTGGAACAATCTGGTTTCTGTTCCTCACCAGTGCCTGGATGCAGCAGGAGAGAGTCGATTCAAAGCTTTAGCTCGTCGCACTGCTAGCTGCTCCATCTCCTCTCCTGTTGGGATGTACTGGGTCTGTGGGAACCTTGCGTACCCATACCTTCCAGTGGACTACAACGGACGCTGTGGGTTGGGATACGTGGTCCCAGCTATGAGAGTGTTGCAGTCTCTGCCAAACAGACATATTCGCCGAGTGCGACGTGGATCTTCCGATGTGTTTGGGACACATAAGCAGTCACCTTTCAAGAATGTAATAGGTACACTCCTTCCTTTTTACGGCGTGATGTCTGCATTGGATCAAATTGCCGATCTGTCTCATACAATTGAAGCTATAGCTAATGCAACTGGGAAGGCTCTCATTCTCTTGTCAAACGAACTGGCCTCTGTCAGACTCCTAGCTTTACAAAACAGAGCAGCTCTGGACTTCCTTTTAGCTGCTCAGGGGGGAACCTGCGCCGTTATTGGGTCCGAGTGCTGCACTTTCGTGCCCGACTACAATGCCACAATTCATGAAATAGTCGGCCATCTTCAGGAAACTGCTAAATCTACTCATCAGGATGGAAGCTCCTTATTTGACTTTTTAAAGCCGACCTTTGAATCTCTCAGTTTTCAGGTTATAAAGGTGTTAATCATTCTGGTGGTTTTAATTATGTTTTTGTCTTTTTTTGTAGCATGTATGAAAAGGTTTTTGTGCAATACGAATTAAGGAACAAACAACTACCGGTACTACATTTTGTACCAAAAAACTTGAGTTTAAAGTTTTCCTATTTTGTTGGGGTTTTTTTTAGAAAAAATGTATTCCAGAATTCAAAAGAGAAACTGTGTGGGTCTGAACTTGACACATAATCAGCCTTACAGTGATGATACCAATTTTAACTAATAATTAAAATTATTTGAATTACTTTTTTCTTACCATTATTTATTTTGGTAATTTTAAATCTTCCACAAAAGGCAAATGCTATAAATGCACTCTTCATTAGTGTTAAACTGTAGGATTACCATGACAGAAGAAAAATAGTTTCCTGGACAGAATATTGTATAAATCAGGCTGTAAACAGGCTTTACGTTATTAAATGTAAACAAATACAAAAACATGAATGTAAAATAGAGAGGAATAAAATGTGCAATGTGTTCTTTTGTATTATGATGGGTCATGTAGTTTTGTTTTTATTTAATAAATTATAAAATTCCTCAGTTGTGCATTTATATTTACTAAAAAAATATATATGGACATTTATTGAGTAAACATGTGCTAGTTTGCCTAAAGGGACAGTGAAAATATGGCAGCAAATAAATGAATTAATTGTTTTATTTTAATGTTTTAACATTTTGTCATGTTTTGAAAGCAAAATATCCTGAAAACTCAGAATTTGGTTCAAATGTCGTGTTCGCTGAAGCATCTGATTTTACCTTTTAGATGATTTTTACTCTAAATGTTGTGATGCTGCCTCTTAGTTCACTTTATTATCTGATATTTTGCCAATAATTTGGTTTGAATCGACTAAAAGCTCAGGCATACAGCCAGAGACGTTCTGTCCATGAGACAGAAATAAAAATATCTATATTTATTTTAAATTCAACTTGAGTCATTATCTGTCTCACCTTATCTGGGTGAACAACCAGAACTGCTTTGCGGTAAACCTTTTTGACCTGTTCAGGAGTAACCAGGTCGGCCATGCCCATGGGCTTCCAGCGCGTCTCTCCCTCCCACAGCACAGTGTGCATGGTGGACAGCAGAGCACGGATGTTACGTTCCTTCCCCTCAATCCAGTCCAAAATCTGGAATACAACCGAGGGCAGGCAGAGAGATTTTACTCTGGTGAACTGCTGAACGAGTAACTGGGTGAATCAAGCTTTGCTCATGGGAAACCTAGATTGGCTGCTGCATTAATTCTGGCCTTGACAGCCAATTATTATTTTTTTGAGTGCACTATACAACTTACTTCTTTTGTTGAGCTTCACTGAACATACGAACAATAAACACCAAGTTACTTTGTTGCAGACTTGTTGCTGAAACTTTGTAAAACTCTACCTTATTTTCATTAGTGTTAAAAAAAAGTTTCTTACCTTTATTTTCTCAGGGTCCATCTCTTTGGCCATCTCCTCTTTCCTCATTTCTGCTATAGTCCTGGGCCCTTTCTTCTCTTTGGTCCCAGCAAAGCCCTGGCCAGATAGCAGGTCATCAAAGTTAGCATCGGAGGCTTTGGGTTTCGAACCTGCCATGGACAACAAATACAAGATATAAAAGAAACATTAAAAATGCTCACATGGTTACTATTAAACATTTTAAGGCTGTATAACACGTAGAAGTGAAAGTCATAAGGAGGTTTTATATTTTTAGCTACTGAACTGTTAAAATTACATTTAATTTGAATGTTTAGTACCTAGTGACACCACGGAATGTGAAAACAGTGACGGGCTCAGAGTTAAATGAGCAACATTTAGGATTCAGCACCATCTAGTGGTGAAGTTACAGATCGCCACCAACAGAACAGTTCCAACATCACCCTTCATTTCCAAACAGGGAGTAATTATTACATGGCTGCTCAACGCAGCATCTCACAGGGCTGGAAACCAGCTGCTTCCTCAAAAGTGCAAGAACATTGTGAGAAATCGCTGTTGCAGACTCACTAAATTGTGTTTGCAACCAAGTGACCAGTGGGTGGTGTTGTGCACAACCAGTATTTGAAAATCCCATCTTTTTGGGAGTGTATGACTCCCTCATAAATTATATTCTTCAACTAGTTGCCAGCAGTCACATCTAATGTAAATGTGTCAAAACCACTTGCGTTGATTTTGTTTTGCTACAGTCAATCAGTGAATAAAATAAAAGACCTGTGTCGACTATACCTAAAAGAATTCTTCTAATCTTACCCATCCCAGCTTGTGATTTGCCCGCTGCACTAGGAGAACCTCCTCCCATTGCTGAGAAGCTGACGTTGTAGTTAGGTCGATTTTGTGGAGACGTGTGAGGCATGGAGGTGTGGCTGGGGCTGGGCTTTGGTTGCGTGCTGGGGCCCTGTCCTTGGGCTTGCCAGCCACTATTTCCTCCAGTGCCGGGCTGCCATGAGGAGAAATTGGCTCCTGTGTGGGGCTGCCAACCACCTGTGTGCTGGGGAGATGGCGGTGGCCGTGATGGGGATCCCATGGGTGGGAAAGAAGGAGTTGCTCCTGTTGGAGTGGTGGGCTTGCTGGAGAAACCAGATCCTCCTTATTAAAAAATAAATAATAATAATTAATATGTTTTTGGCAGTGACAGGTGACAAAAAGTAGCTGAAATGATCAGTGTCAGACCTCCAAGGCTGCCAGACAGATTACCAATATCAGCAAATGGATCCAGGGAGTTTGGCTTGGTTTGGTGGGTGGGGGTGCTGTGGACTGAGCCAGTGGGACTAGTTGTAGCTGATCTACTGTCCATACCAAAGCCTGCCCCTAAATTATTCAACAAGACAAGGTATCAGAGTATCACTTTGTATTCACACCTCTGTGTTACTGTGTGATTGAGCATACCGTTATTTGTGGTAGCAGGTCTGTTCCAGTCCCATCCTCCCATGGCATTCTGCTGCTGAATGTTGACAGTAGGTGTGGTGGGTGGGACGGGGGAACTTCGACCTGTTCAGTCACATACACACTAGTCACAGGGAGAACACTCGGGGAATGTGAACTGAGCGACATGAACCCAGATAAACAAAAACAACAAGGGTTCTGTTGATGCGTGGCTGCTACATCTGATTTCAAGTTAGTGAAACATGTTCAGTTTTATAAAAACAGTGTTACATCTTTTATCTTTTTTCTAATCTGTAGAAGGTAAAACTATCTCAGTAAATGCAGAATGGATTGTACTGGGATGGGAACGTTTATATGTCTCTGACCTGCAAATAATTGCACACAGGTCATGCAAAGCATACACTAGTAGCAATAGTGTGTATATGCATATGCATATACACACTATTGCTAC